AATTATAGGCCTTTAAATGTGTATGGTGAAGTCAGGAAGGAAGAGTTGCCGTTTTACAAAAGAACTGAATTCTATGCAGCTTGGTTCTAGCAAGTACTTTGCAGGGGTTACCTTTAATTGAGAGTTGGATCATCTTCTCCCATTACACTGCTGAAATGCTGTTTTAAGGAGATACACGGTTGTCACTGGCCAGGGAAGGACTAATTTGCTGTCAGTTGCTCAGAAAATGCGGAGCTGTACGTACTTGAGATGGTTAATCTCTCCCCTCTCCCCTGCCTGCCCAGCATTCATCTCTGCATTACGCAGTTACACACGAAGTCTGGTGTTGCTGAACAGTTCCTGAAAGATGTGAAAGACAGCATTGAGGAGATCATGAAGGACCTCAACGCCAAGACCACAGGCATGGTAAGGAGGCCAGCATATAGTAAGGGTGCGTTTGGGGTGAGCGTGTTTCTCTGATGGCATTAACGATCCTATGTAACGACCTCCTCTTCTCTGCTTAGGGAGCCATCTATGGAATGGCCCAGTCCGTCCCAGACAGGAGCTTGGTGGCAGAGATTTCTCAAGCGTACTTGGATGGCCTGTACAGCACGGATGTTCCTTGCAGTGAAAAGCACATGAATGGCTCTCCCGGCCACCACTGACTGTAGTGCAACGATCGGTGGCTTGCCAGCTAGCACTGGGGTGATTCTAAAGGCTTCCTAGGGGAAGAGATTGCAGTAAGCCTTTGTTCCTACAATTGCAGGTCTGATGGCGGCTTGATCTTGAAAACTTCCTTCCCCGTCTTAGTCTGTTCTGAAATCTGCATTATTTTCATGCCCAACTTTAGTTTTAGGGCTTTTCTCCCCTTCCCCCTGCCTATTTTCATCATGACTATTGATGGTGAATTGAACGTCCATTCCACAACTCCAAATTCCTCAGGTATTCTGTGTGTCACTTTCATTCCTTGCTGTTTCTTCTCCTCAGACCTGGTATTCAGCCGGTGTCCAGCCAAGTGTTAGATTTGAGTTCTCATGTTGTGTTCCAAAGCTTCAATCTTCCCAGAAGCTGAAGGTAGAAAATAAATTGAATATTTTGTTTTCTTTTGAGTATTCCTCCAAGCTACTGCATTTAACAGACTGTGCTGGGAGCCTTATGTCTATGTAATGCAGAGCCGATAAATTGGCAAAGGAAAGATGGTCATGTACTCTGTTTGAAATCCCCTCTGGAGATCTCAGTAAGACTGCAATCAATATCTGCTGAGGAGAAAACAACCCAACACAAAATCCTTTTCTGGAATCTCTTGGTTTGTATAACAGCAGAAATAGAAACCAAGTGGGTGGCGTAAGGAGAGGAACTGGATGGTACTGAAAATCCTAGGTACATAGTAACTGTTTTGCTTCCCTGCCTCTTCTAGGAGGCATGCATTTACCACCTAGAGTGCTTGTTGTACCTTGCACCATTCTGGAGGTATGTGCAAAACAGTGATTTCACTGTTCATAACTTGAAGGTTTTGCACTATCTCACAATGCTGTAGTAGAGTCAGTCAGGCCCTGGCGTGTGTCATGGCTAGGGACTTCACGTGCAAACGGATGGCGCCAAAGCTGACCTTTTTTTACCGTGATCTTTTAGTATAAAAAGGTGACTTTTGTAATAGTAGTAATCTCTCTGCTCTTTGCACTGATTCATTTAAGGCACATTCTCAAAAGGGCATTCACCATTGTGCCTTGACGCTTCTCTGGCTTTTTATTGTGGGATGCCAGGGAGGGTTTGAGGGTTCAGCTGTTGACTGCAGCGTTTGCTGCGGTTGTTTCCTTATGGTACTATACTAAAAAAAAAAACCTCAAAGGCAGACTGGCCTCAGAGAAAGTATGCTTGCCTATAGGTAGAATAGTAGTTGTATTGAGCCAAGTCCCTTCACAGTATTACAAAGATGCTGGTATAGCTCTGAGAGGTAGGTGATAGGATGCAGCAAGTTGGAGGTATTCAAGCCTTGGGCATGTGCTCACCCTTCCTACTTTTCTCTGTTTTTACAGTGAGAGAGTTTTTCCAGTGCAACTTGTGAGGCAGTTGCGGCCTTAAGGACAAGCTAGAATCTCTTGAGTTATTAAACAGTGGTAGAGTCACTCCTGCAGGGCTTTCCCAGGTGTTGCCTCTCAGCTTTTTGCATGATACTGAGAGTTTCCCAGGCGGAGTTCAACACTTGGGAGAAGACTTTGTGCCATGTCTAGAGAGTCTTGTGCAGGGCAGTTGAAGGCATCTGTCTCTCTGCTGTAGTGGGCTTGTTAGCCTGAAGCTGACCCTCCACTGGCTTAACGCAGCTGAAGCACACACTTGCACAATAATTACACCGAATGAGAAGGTTACTTACCAGCCGCTGCACAAACTAGTGCAGCAGCCTTGGGCCCAGTGATTGTGGGAAGAATACTTGCTTTTTAACAGGTTTATTCTCAGTGCTAGGAGACAAAAGTATTTTGGCCATCTGCCCTTAAATTGATGACTTTATGCATGTCTCTGAGCCCTTGTGAAAACATCGCATTTGAATTGCCTGATAGTCTCTTGGTGGTGTTACCAGCTCTGGCAGTCAGCATTTATGTTGGACCTATTTATTCTGTTAACGTCTTACCAATGTGACCATGAATTTGCTGTACTTCGGAGACAGTCTTAAGTGTCTGGCTACTGTGATGGTTCTCTTTTGAACCGAGATTTAAAAAAAAAAGAAAACAAAAACAAAAAAGGGAGGTACTCTTTTTGTTTCTGCTTTAAAAGAAAGGGGGATGGTTTGGGGTGGGGTTATGGAGAGAAAAACTCCCTCCTCTTCCCTGGTTGCATTTTCCTCCGAGGAAGTAGATGGATCTAACAGATCAGTGCTCCATTTCACATTTTTGGATGTATTTGAAGATGTTATTTGTAAGTCAGTGTGTTCCATTCTGGGCCTCACTTACTAGTGATATTTGTGGGTTTAATTATTTTATGTGTATTTGTTCTATACTGTTAATGTAATCTGGTCAGGAATAGGCCACTGTAATTTACTGGTGTGTAGTCTCTATTCATCCTTGTCATCTAACATGTAATCTGCATCTCCCTTATCATGCCAAATGGTCTTAGGAAAATGGTGCAATTAACAGGCAGTGTAATTACTTAAAAGAGGAAAAAAGAAGAATTTTATGGACTGGATTATGATCTGAAACTGGATGGTACTTTAGACCTGGAGGGATCTTCGTGACTATTAATTCCTGCGAGATTTCTGACTGTCAGGTTTTCCAAATTTGTTGCTTGTACAAAGCACTCCCAAGGGATTTGCGTGCTCTTAGGTACTAGACTGAAGAATATCCAACGGGATGGACCAAGAAGAGATGTGTGTCTTCATGCCATGGATTTCATCTGCACTTTTCTGATGACTTGGGGGAGGGGTGAGTGGAAGGGTTGCATACAACACAATAATATCTTGCCCAATAAATACACATTAACTTTTTAATGAACAAATGGGACGAGTTGTTCATCTGATGGCAGTATTCTGTATTGTTCTAATTTGCCACTGTAAAACTGTAGGCTGAAATAGCTGAAGAGGTGGTGAAAATGGGCCTAGTTTGTATTAAAATGGTGCATTTAGCTATCTAGGCTCATTGAACTCTTATTTTTCTGTTTCAGTGCTTATTTGAATGAATGGGGACCTATTGCTCCTGGTCTTTGCTCATGCACAGCCTAGTCTGTAGCAGGGAGAATGGTTTCTGAATCTTACTAACTCTGCCCGAGGGCTGCTCTTTCATTCTGTCAAGATAAAGGTGGTGTCCGTGGCTGCACCTTGCCTGTGGTGTTCAAGGATGCTGAAAATCGTCATTTTAAAAGCTGTGGATTTTCTCTTAATGCTTTATAGAACTTTAAAGGGTTAAAAAAAAAAGGAGAAAGACAGACCTGAATTTTGGGTGTTTGTAGTGTTTCTCCCAGACTGTTTTGCTGAAAGCAACTAGGGTTGGTTTCACAGCAAATTGTTCCTGTTGTACCGAAAACGCAGCAATTTGGCTGCAGACTCCCTGAATGCTGAGATCATTGTGTTACTGGAGTGAAGATCTTACACCACCAAATCCACCTACAACCTATTTTGGGAGGTATCCCACCATAAGAAGCCCCTGGCCCGGTGCTTGCGCTGCTTTCGTGCCTTTTGGTTGTGCCTTCCCTGTGTGTGTGCCTTGGCCATGGTATGCTTCTGATTTTAGCACAAGCGGTTTTTATCTGATCTGCTCTGGCTTTGATAATCTCATTCTCTTTCAGACTCCGTTCACTTTGAGGTGCAGGCCTGCGTAGGCACGTGCCATTTCTCCATGTTGCTTTATCAAGAAGCTTTTCCGTGGCAGAAGCACCTTCTTGAGAGCAGCCAGGCCAGTACCTGCCTTGGGAAAACATGCTGGCGTTATTTTGACAGTGAGGCCTCTTTCCAAACTGACATCAGGTTAACCAAGACCTTTATTGTAAACATTTTCAGTTGATATCCTACTGAAGGCCGGTTACAATAGGGGTGAGATAACATGCCTGCTTGTAATACTGCTAGAGAGAGGTTACAGTAATAACCAAATTGCACATCACAGTTGCTGGTATGTTGTAGAGAAACCAAAGGGTTCATGTACCATGTTTTAGGTAGAAAGCATATTCCAGTAGGTAAGAAGCAATACCACAGTGGCTGGATGGGGTCAGGCTCTGGAAAGATTTACTGGTGCAATTGTGTAACATGACTCCTGGTAAAAGGGCACCTCTGCTGAAAGCCAGAGAGGCTCAGCAGTTTGTGGGCTGGTAGCGCACAGCTGATGAAGGGTTTAAGAATGGAAAGCAACAAGATCAGAGATGGATATATGCGTGGTGCCCAAGAAGCACCTCCATCCATCTGAGTTGTGGCAGGGAGTTTGGCGTGGCGTTAGGCAGTCTGGATCCAGGAACTAGCTTGGAAGCGGGAGAAGGCCATCCAGGCGAGATGCAGGTTGTGGCAGTGGCAGAGTCGATTTTTGGCTTCATGTGTCTCTCTCTAGTCAGGAGAGGGAAGCTATAACCTGCTCGATGAAGCTGGCCAAGTTGATGTCTCGCTCCGATAAGCCTCCACACTCGTGGGTGCTCAAGGTGATGTGAACCTAAACCAGACAGACAGACCGACCAAGTGTTGCTGGCAGAAAGAGCAGGAACAGTTCCCCACAGTGCTGTAGACAATTCGCATTTGATGAGGCAGGTATTATGTTCTCCAGACTTGCTAGCAAAATTTCCTGGGGTGGGAGAGGTGGTCTGGGATTTTGCCTGGTTTTCTCCTTCCTACAGCTCATCCTGGCCACAAGCTGTCACTGCCACCCCTGCCTTGGTCACAGCAGCTGGCTGTGCCCACTTTTCAACTCACTCTTTCTCCAGAAGCTTTTCTCCTTGCTGCTACTTGATTTAAAAAAGCAACCCTGGTGTGCCAGACTACAGGCAGCTACTGCTCAGCTGGACAGGTTAAAAAAGGGGGAGGAAAGGATCTGTGGGTGATAGCTGTAGGCTGTCTGTGATGTGCCAAGGGAACAGCACCTGAGGAAAGAGGTCCCACTGATCTGGACAGCACTTGCTGCTCCTGTCCTATGCCTCACAAAAGGGATGTGTTCTCTGAAGAGCTCCGGTTGCCTGCCCCCATCCCTCTTTCTTACCTTATTGTACACATTGAACCATTCGGGGTGGTGATCCAGTTTTTCTGCCTGTAGAGCCACTCTGGTCATGAAGCCAAAGGCCTGCCCAGTGCAGTAAGAAGAAAAGTTAGCTCTGAACCACTGACCCTGCAATATATTGTTTTTCACCCCATTGCTATTAATTTTATATGACATGTTTCTAGGTAACCCAACTAAATGCAAGGCCTGGGATGTTCTGTATCTTTGTTGGGGTTTTCTATGGGTTTTCCTCTTTTTGGGGAGCTTTTCCCAGACAAACCATGTGCTGGGTTGAGCTCTTTGGTGTCTTGGGCAGGTTATCTTGCTCAGCCATTACATTTCAGGAGAAACATGGAAGGGTTTCTTTGGCTGAGCCTTGCAGATGAGACTCCCTGCTCTGCAAACCAGGTCTCCCGCATTGTAAAACTCTGTGCCACTAATGCTCATACCCGGTTGAAATCCTTGAAGTGGAACTCTTTGAAGATGGCGTCTCTGCCTTCCACCTCGTTCCACCCTACGGCTCTCAGGTTTGGCAGCAGCTGCTCCCTCTCCTCTGCGCTCAGCCTGTGGGCTTTTCCTGCCTGACACCGCAGAAAGGAAAGGGAAGAGGAGCAGATCAGCGTGGCAGAGGTAGGATGAAGCAGATGTTCAAAGCAGCAAGGCATCTCATGGGTCATGAAGTCTGTGCAGACTGGGTGGGAGGGTTAGAGTGTGTGTGTGTGTGTGGACCTGAGTTGGGGGGTGCTGATGATAGGGGATATCAATGCTGTCCTCTGCTCCCTGCCCTGGGTACATCCTGCATGTACCTAGGTCAAGTGAAGTCCAGCTTGTCACTTTTGTCCTCTGACCTGCAAGACCTACCACTTTACCAGTGTATATATGTATTCATTATAATCTGAGATACTAAGAAATGATGGCTGCGTGAGGTTAAGCTCCCAAATACATTACATATAATCCTCTAGGAAAAAAACCTGAAACTTTGTGATGGCTTCTAAAACTGAGTATTGCTTGCTTTTGATGTTTGTGAGGTACCTTCCTGAAGCAGGAGGGCTTTATTTGCAGGTCATCTGCACTGGAAGCCTGCTTTAGAGGAGAAAGAAGTGTGAATCAGAGAGATGAGTCACACTAAATTGGAGTTCAGCTTCTTTTCCTTTTCAATCTCCCTTATGTTACGATGGAGTCTAAGAGGCTGTTTCTGAGTAACAAAGGGCAGGGGGAGGGATTGTGATTTAGCATTGTCTTCCCCTCTTGGGCAGAGCTGCTGTTATTTGTTCTTTAAGGGGAAAAGAAAAAAAACCAACCAGTTCTTCTTGGCTTTGGGGAATGAATATGGTCACAGATGAAACTAAAATGGAGTTCTTGGGGGTGGGGGCTACCTGAGCCAGTGTATCTTCTGGCTTGGTGGGGAAGGCAGGAGTGAGTGCGGAGGGGTATTGCTCTATCTGAAAGATTATGTTTTGGCAATTAAAATTCTTTCCTAGTGGGTGATCTGATCTTTCCACTTGATGAGGATTGTTGTTTCTCAATGACAAAGACCAACATCTCTTTGCAATTTTTTCCTTTATATGCTGTAGAGCAAAGCGTGGCAAGTTAAGTACGAGTCCCAACAAATACAGCCCACTGTTTTTTGTGGGTGTTTGCTCAGCTGTTTAAGATGCTGCTTCTGAGCATCAGTGTCCAAGTGAAGCATCTCGAGGGGCTGCTGACCAAAGAAGGCAAATAGACCTTTCCTATAGTTCATCTGCTCACAGGCTGTATAAAGCCAAAGAGGCAGCCATGGCGCTGATGTTTTTGTGGGGGGTTCTTCGGTTTTGCATATTTTGAGGAAGACTGGAAAGATGACGCTCTGTTCCCCTGTTACTGGTTCTGCTAAGCCGTTGGGGCCGCGTGGGCGCCTACCTCTCTGCGTAGCCGTGACCCTTATGTTTAGAGAAAGCTGTCAGCTGCAGAACACTCCATGAAATGGAGAGCGCCAGGGCGTGCGCTGAACCTTAGCTCAGGAGTGGCTGGGTGTGGGATGGTTCCTGTCCCCCTGGCATCCCAGCTGCACGCTCTCCCTCTTGCACAGCGTTTGGGGAAAGCCTTCCTCACCCCTGCATGCCCCGGCCTTGCTGCTAGTGTGCAAACCACCTGCGCCACCCCTCAGTTTGTGCGGCGTTTTGGATGGCCTCCTGCCAGCCCCGGCTCCACCACCCCCTGCTAACGTCAACCCCATCCCTTCCTGAGCTCTGGAGGGAAGGTAGTGAGTAAACACAGCTCAGTGCAATAAACCCTCAGCCGTTGCCCTTCTGTGCCGATGGCGTGATAAGCCGGTGCGGGTAGCTTAGCAACTGGATAATGTGGGGACGGAGGCTGGCTCTGCACAGGGCCGCTGGCAGGGGGGCACCCATGGGGGCTGCCCTGGGGGGACTCTGGTGGGAGTGGGGTAGGGGGTCTACACTAGGTTTTGGGACCAGGGGCTGAAAGCTCCTGCTCATGTATCGGTGCTAACAAGAGGAAAGGCTGCGTAAAGCCGGAGCTGTTGCTTGCCTGGAGCAGAGGGGTATGAACACAGGGGGCTGGGTGCTGAGCCAGCCTCCTCTGGGCAGAGCAAGAAACCAGGCTGCTTGGAAGGGATGCGGCTTAATTGTTCTCTGAACCCTTTTCTGCATTGAAACTACACGGGAGGATGGGCCCCGGGCCTTTTTCCAGGCCCAGCTCCTCTCTAAGAGCCCAGCGCCAGTGGGAGGCATGACCAGGCTGGGGTTTGGCCAACAGGCCACACGAAAGCCAGCTCCTCCGGCTGCGTCTGGTGGTGGCAGACCCCCTGCCCATTGCACCCTGCGTGCCCCCCAAGCTGCTCCCTTCCCTCCTTCTCCACCCGAACACATTGGCTAGCTTGCTGTTTTTGTCAGCATAGCATGTTAATGCTTTCATGTGCACTCACTCCTTTAAAACACACTCTTCTTGTTAGGGAAATTTAATTATTTTGTGTTCTTTTCCTGGCTTTCAACTGCTAAGGCATTAGGATTTTTGTTTTTCTGTCAGCGGGAAACCAAGTTGATGCGTTGTGCAACCAAGGGAAAGGAACCAGCATGGGAAACTGGGAGAGCTTTGGGCTTTTTGGAGATGAAACAACCCTCTCTGCTCAAACTAACATCTTCCCCTTTAAGGGTGACTTGTCACCTAGGAGAAGGTAAAGGGGAGAGCCCTGGCGTGAGCAGGACCTGCAGGCAGGGCTGGAATGCCGTATGCCACAAGACCCACAGTCTTTTGCTCCTGTCCCCTCTGCTGCCGTGAAAAAGCTGATTTCTAGCTGGCCAGGGTGGGTTGCATGGGCTGTGCAGATGGAGCATGCTTGGGGGTCATAGTTGCTGTGCGGAATTGAGTGGGGATCACGCTGGCAGTGCAGCCTTGCTGATGGACCCTTTCCCTCCCCCTCACAGAGGAACTGAGCCTGGAGAGCACTGGCTTTGGTAATTCAGCAGCAGCTGGCGGAGCTCCCTGTGTTATTTATTAACCACAGCGTAGAGCTCTGCTCCTTTCTCCCTTTCCTCCTGCCTTTTCTCAGAGGCCGAAGCTACCGCTGAAACCTTCCTGCCCCATCCTTTGCTGCTGCCTGCAAAGCAACAGTCAGATTTCCCAGTAGTGACTTACCATCGCCTCTGGGTCTCCGTGGCCTCTGTCCCCGGTCCAGGCTGGGTGGTGGACGCTGTACCGTAGCCCGGTGGAGCAGTGGCTTGTCCGGGGCGGCGGGAGGGAGGCGTGGCAAGGGGGCCGGGTCCACCCACGGTGAACTGCTGCCCGTGCTGCCCGCGCCTTTCCCAACGCTGTCTGGCAGCCGTCACCTGCCTGCGTGGCCTTACTGGACTGTGGGGCTTGGGGGATGCTAAAACAGGGTGTCTTTGAACCCCTGCATGCTGAAGCGGTGATGCATCCACCCCTGAACAACCCGCCCCTCTTCTATAGGGTCACATTTTTAACCTGTTGCACGAGCACAAAGCAGAATGGGATGGAGAAGGGGCAGTCAAAGCCGGTACCACTGGATGCTGCCGGCAACACATGTGATGAATGCGACAGTCATCATGGCTGAGCACACGTGTGCCTCCCAGCCCTTTTAGCTCTGTGATAAACACGACCCGAGGGCTGCATTGTCTGGGGACAGCCTGGATTATATTGCAGCACGTGAACCAAGAGACAGGGTAATGGGGGGAACCGTGTGCGGCACAATGCTTCTGAGCATTTTTAAGGTGTTTTCTCCTGTTGCTGAGGGAACCGTGTTTGCACGGATGCCTCATGCTGCTCCCTGGCGTGTTTTTGCTCTCCAGGCCTGCCGGATTTGTGCCCATGTCCTGCAGCTCATCGTCTGCTAAACCCGCTCATGTGATGGGCAATTTTCCAGTGCTGACAACAATTTTATATCATGCTGATGTACGTGGTAGACAGAAATTCAGCACTCTGCTATACCCGCATGGCTTTCTTTACCCTTGAAGCAACTGATTCTGGAAATTTTTTAATATAGTGTGACATACATACCTTGTATATACTCTTGTGCACATTTTGTTTTCTACTGTTAGGGTTTGCGGGTGCCACAGAGATGATTTGTTTCTCCAGCAGGCAAGTTAGAGGGAAGCAAATTCTTCCTTTCCTTTTTTTGCCCTCTATAGATTTGCTTGCCAGGGTGATGAAAAGGGAAAGTGAGCATCTTCTGTGTCTTGGGAGACCCTGAGTGTCTGTTCGGGGAGAAAAGACTTGGAGAGCAATGCAGCACCTGAGAAGAAAATAATTGTGTGCAGACATGAGGCTGGAGGCTTTGATATGGATGGGGAGGGGTGCTGTATGGTTTCCAGTAATGAAATCAGGAGATGGGATTGTTTGTAAGGTTGGGAAAGGCCAGCAGAATATTTTCTTAGCATAAGTTTGAATTACAGGACTGGCAGTTTCATCAGCACAGCCCAGCAGAAGCGCCCCTGTAAACAGCGGCATAAGCAGGAGGTAAAGGAAGCAATATTGTCATGAAGTTGCAGGTGGAGATACGGGTGCTGCAGATCTGCAGCTGAGATCCCCTGAACATAGCTGTTTTTTCTCAAGAAAATGCCATGACAGTTTTGATGGTGACTTGTCAGGGCCTCAAATGCACCTTGGCTAGCTGACAGTGCCTCTGTTGGCCTCCCTATTGATTTGGAGATGGGGGAGGAAGAAAATACCCCATCTCTCATGGAACTCCGATTTCCCTCTGTTGGATTTTGTTCCAGCACAGCTGGGAGATGATCCTATTTACCTTGCCAATACGTGTGCTGCCAGTGCAGAGCAACTGACAGACACCTCAGCTCATTAGAGGTGAGAATTTCTGTGGCTGGAGAACATCAGGAGAAAAACGATTAATTATACTGTGTCTGCTGATTACCCAGCTCCTTTGTAATGGCATTTTCTCTCCTAGGTTATAAATCAAGCCTTAACTGCCAGCCTTACATCCCCTCGCAGAGGGATGTGCTTTTGCTGAAAAGTGTCAACAGGGCAGCTGTGATTTTCCTCGGTCTGCGGTGTGAAATTGTGGCCGGGGGGATCCTTTGGCTGACTCCAACTCCTGAACCCCTA